ATGCAAATTCGGTGAAGCCAAAATAAATTTCCTAGGTTACGAAGTTTCCGCCGAAGGAACCAAACCTTTAACTGACAAGGTGTTGGCCATTCAAAACTTCCCAACTCCTAAAAACGTTCAAGAATTGCGACGTTTTCTTGGTATGATCAATTTTTATCGTCGTTTCATTCCAAATGCCGCAAACAACCAAGCAATTTTACACAATTTTCTTAAAAACAGTAAGAAAAACGACAAAACACTTATAACCTGGTCTCCTGAATCATTAGAAGCTTTTCAAAAGTGCAAAACAAATTTGGTTAACGCAACTCTTCTTACTCATCCTTCTGCAAACGCACCCATTTCCCTCACTGTTGATGCATCAGATATTGCCATTGGTGCAGTCATTGAGCAATGGGAATCTGACGCCTGGAAGCCGTTAGGATTTTATTCAAAAAAGCTCACTCCTACCCAAAAAAATTACAGTACTTATGATCGCGAACTTTTAGCTATATATTCAGCTATTAAATTCTTTCGTCATTTTCTTGAAGGCAGACCCTTTCCTATCTATACTGATCATAAGCCCTTGACCTTCGCTTTCTCACAGAAAGGAGATAAAAGCTCGCCTAGACAATTTCGTCAATTAAATTTTATAAGTCAGTTCTCTACAATAGTCAAACACATCAGTGGTAAAGATAATATCACAGCTGACACTCTTTCTCGCTTAGAAGCTATAAATTGTCCTACCCCTATTGATCTAGAACAACTAGCTCAACATCAACAAGATGATTCTGAACTACAAAATATTATTCAAAATCCAAACTCCACTTCTCTTTTACTACGTCAAATTCAATTTCCTAATGTCAAATTACCGATATACTGTGACATTAGTCAATCGCAAGTTCGTCCTTTTGTACCACCTTCTTTGCGTAAGGTAGTGTATAATAATTTCCATAACTTGGCACATCCTGGTATTAGAGCAACCACAAAATTAATCACGACCAAATTCGTATGGCCATCTATCAGAAGAGACATTGCAGTATGGACACGGTCATGCATTGGTTGCCAAAAGGCAAAAATTCAACGGCATACTCGTTCACCTTTTCAGTCTATACAAATCCCTACAGAACGATTTCAATTTATCCACATGGATATAGTTGGTCCCTTACCACCTTCACGAGGTTTCTCATATTGTTTAACAATCATTGACCGATTTACGTGTTGGGTAGAAGCCATACCTATTGCAGATATATCCGCTGCAACTGTGGCAGAAGCTTTCTTCACTCACTGGATAGCACGTTTTGGCATCCCTTTGCGGATTGTCACGGACCAAGGCCGTCAATTCGAAAGCTCACTATATCAATCCCTAGCATTACTTTTGGGCATCAAAAGATCTCGATCTTCACCCTATCATCCGCAAACTAATGGAAAAATCGAACGTTGGCACCGCACTCTAAAAAGTGCTATTAAAGCTTACCGCAGCGACCGTTGGACTGAGATTCTACCAATGATCCTCCTCGGCTTCCGTTGTGTAATGCGCGAGGATGCCGAAGCCAGCCCCGCAGAAATGCTTTATGGATCAGGAATACGTTTACCTGGAGAACTATTTCTACCATCTTCTTCTCTCCATTTGGATCCATCGTCCTTTGTCCAACGTCTAAAAGAGAAAATTAATCTCCTGCAACCAGTTCCTCAACGGCAGTGTAACAGAACCATCATTTTCGTCTCACCAGCACTCAAATCCAGTTCACATGTGTTTGTGCGTCGCGATTCGGTAAAAAAACCTCTCCAACCACCGTTCGATGGCCCGTATCGTGTAGTGAACCGTTCTGAAAAATATTTCACTGTGCACATTAACGGTAGTGACACCAACATTTCTCTAGATCGTCTCAAACCTGCATTCCTGTTGAATGATAATCCCATTTCGCACGATCACTCTTATGCGAAAATTGAAGTGCTACAATCAAACAATAAATGTGTACGATTTAAGTAACTAAACAATGTTAACTTTATACTTACCCAATGTTATTTTTACGATTTGCATATAACTTATTTTTGTAATTTCACCTTTTCATACGTTTGTACTTAACTTTGTATTGTTTCATTGTTTGCTATGTATTATTTGTTTCGTGGGTTTTCCCACTGGAGGGGGAGTACTGTAGTGTATCATGTTATGTCTATGGTCATAGAACATCTAACTTCTATGACGTTGGTTGTCGCGGGCTTGTCAAGCTTCACTAGTCTATGGTCTTAGTCACTGTGGAGTCTTAAAACGTGGCGCGTAAAAAAAAATAATCGATATAGTCTACTACTAGTTGTTCCGCCATTTATCTACTATATTCTCTCGCGCTTGTTAACTGTTAAATTAAAATAAAGTTTGTAGTGTTCGTGTAAGATCATTTATTATTATTTCCTACAATTATGGAAACCTATCCCTTACACGCGCACACATTCTTACTGCACTGTAGTCACAAACTGCAACCACTCGATGACACAGTATATTTTAAAACTAGATACCACATTGCCATGAATGAATGGATGTTGTCAAACCCTGGTAAAACGGTAACCATTTACCAAGTTAGGAAGTTTGTAAAAGAAGCATATTAGTCGGCATTTATAGGGTTTGTCAGGAAAGTAATAGGATTGAGTCGATTTAAAAAAAATTATTGAGCCAATCGTTACAATTCTTTAAAAACTTTCAAAATAGGCTCCTTCTGCGTCCATGCAGCGCTGCCAGCGCGATTTCCAAGCATTGAAGACGTCACGGAAGGCATTCTCCGGAATAGCCTTAAGAGCCGCGGTGCATGCTGCTTGGATCCCCCCTGTCGTCCCAAAATGCTTGCCTTTCATCGGTCTTTTCAGGCGAGCAAACAAAAAAAAGTCCGGGGGGGGGTCACATCTGGTTTAATCGCGTACCTCTGCTCTAACGAACGCTGCATTTTCGGCTTGCACCACTCACAGAACACGTCGCGCGAAAAAGCCTGTTCTGATTCTCCTGGTGCTCGGAGACAACTCACCAGGTGCTTGTTCGTTAGCTACGAATGCCCTCTACCGAATCCAGTCGGTGTGCGCCCGCTCCGAGGTACAGTCGCGGCGGAAGGAAATCAGTCCTATTACTTTCCGGACAAACCCTGTATTCTTATTATTTAGTAGTATTTATCCCTTAAATTCTAATATATTTAATGAGGAAGAATTTTTAACTTCATATGTGACTGATAGACCTGACCTATCACAGTCAAAAGATGGTAGTGTGATAAAATTGGACAAGAAAAATATTGAAACTAACTTTAAGATTTACACCACCTCCTTCTACAAAACCATTTGAAGCATACCAGGCCAAAATATCAGATCGTTTTCCTATCTAACCTCTGCCCTTATGGTTGCGATTCCAAGTACTTCTAGGCAACAAACCCGAGATTATAAGACCATTTTCTAAAGCAGAGCCGAGACAAAACACGACACGCAATAATAGAAAAATGTCATCAGCCATTGTAACTGACACACCCGAAAAGGAAAAATTAGAAGAGAAAGAGAGTAATGCAAAAAAAAAAACAAAACTTAATATTAAGAAAATAACTACAAAACAGTCAATAAAAACTCTTAACAGAAAATCAAAAATAAATCAAGAAAATTTGGTACTGCAAGATGACTCCGATTCGTCTAACTCTACCGTATTGACTGACGTAAAAAAAAAAAGATATTCAAAGCAAAGCAAACTCTAAAACAAACAAAATTAGTGATGATTGCGTAATGTCCAGCAAAATATATAAAACAGTGATCAAGATTGGTTTCAGTGCAAAATTTGTTCTGGTTGGGCTCACGAATCCTGTGGTATTAAGGGGCAATTTAATTTCTTTTGCAATAAGTGCTTTTAAGTTTAAGAAAATAACAATATTCTAAAGTTCGTAGAAAGTCTGATCTGTTATCTTAAACTTAGGCAAATAGATAGTTAAGATTTTAAGCTTAAAGTGAGCAATATTTTTTTATTGAAGTTCTTAAATATTTAACGATGTTGTCTTTGATAGAAGATATTATTTGTTATTTTGTTTATATTTCGAGATTGTTATTAATGAAAAATAATCAGCCTCTAATAAATAGGTATAGGTAATAAATGAATAATATGCTAAGATAAAGATGTTTTCGACAATACTACAAATGACGCAGCAAACGCCATCTGTAGCACGATGCTACATTTTAGGATTACGTATGCTCCAACAAGGTCAACATGTGTGGATATATACTTGCTGAAAACGAATTCCGGCGTAGCCAACCCCAACGTGATAGGCACGTTAGCTTAATCGAATAAAATAATTCTGTCGAAACTGCCAGACGTGGATCGCGATTTCGATCTTTTTGGATCTCATCAGCCCGTCGCAAGCAGCTCCGACAGAACACAGACCAACTTTTACCTGCTGTCTAAACAGTGCGTTTTAGAAAATACTGCAAATGGGGCAGTAAACGCCATCTGTAGCACGATGCTACATTTTAGGATTACGTATGCTCCTACAAGGTCCACTTGTGTGGTGCTACAGATGGTCGTCGTATTCGGTTTGCTCTAACAACAACCATTGATGTTTCGAATTGCACATACTTGGAATGCATGTATCTTATGAAACCTGACGTCACAACATCCGCCAAAGTTTCAAATACGGGTTATTGTTTTGCATGCAATTGTATGGGTTTCAATCTGAAAGCTAATTATAAATATAAGCGCAATATATGATTGGACTGATACTAACCCTAAACAAAGGAACGTTGTTAAAGCAAAACGGATTCTCAAAGCCGGTAATATTATAAACTGTAAATGTGTGTGCCGTACCTGCGTCCTGGGAACGCAGTTAAACAGTTTAAAGAAAAAATAAACTATCCGGATGTTTCCAGAAGGTTCCAAACAGTAATCAGAAGAGTATTTATAGGAAGAGACGATCACCGAGAAAAGAGGAAATAAATTGACCGTTGTAGAAGTGAATCCAGAAATAAATTGACAGTGGTAGCAGTGAAATAAATAGCGCACTGAATAGTGATATATCAACAGTCGTGTAAATAAATAGAATAATTCATAACCTAAGTTTAGTAATAATTTAATGGTGCTTTTCAGTTTTTTATTAATTAGTATAAATAAATAGTTTGTGTCGTTATCAATCTTAGAAGTTAATTTTGTTAAACCTACAAACATTACAACTGGTGTCACGTGTGGGGTTGAGTAAAAGACATTAGAATGGCAAAGAAGTTGTACGAATTAAAAGTAGCCGAGTTAAGAGAATTGGAAGAACGGGATAGAGCGACAAGCGGTAACAAAGCGGAACTGCAGTGGCGGCTCGCGGAGGCTTTGAAAAACGATGGCCATGATCTTAAAACCTTCCTTTTCGAAGACGAATTGTCGCAAATGATGAAAAGTTTAAAATTAAAGAATTTGAAGAAAACAGTAAAAGTTTGGGAATAAATTGGAAGAAAATAGTAAAAATATGAAACGTGAATTGGAAGAAAACAGTAGAAGTTTGGAGAATAAATGGGAAGAAACGTTTAATAAGAATATTCAAGAAACAAAAGAGAAGATAAAAGTGCAGGAAGAATTGATTTTTAATAGAAAGACAAAACTAATCGAAGGCGATTTGGCGCATCTAGTACACTCAACGAAGCTAGCCAAATCAACCAAGGAAGCGGTATAAAGGCAACAACACGAGTAAAACCACCAACGTTTGACGGAAAGTCCTCATGGACCACATACCACAAGCCCTTCAAGGCGGCTGCTAAGGCGAATAACTGGGCGACTGAAGAAAAAGTCACTGCGTTGACCGTTGCGCTTCGTGGAGGTGCATGTGACATTTTGAACACCCTTGCCCCGGAAGAATTGGTGGGTAATGAACAGCTGGTAAAACGGTTAAAGTTTCGCTACAGCAAAGCTCATTTAACAGCGGTCTATCACATCCAACTGAAAACGCCTTACCAGAATTGAACGGAATCCCTTCAAGAATTGGAGGCCAATATTGCGAGACTGTCTCGACTGACCTATCCTAATACTCCAGAAGAATATATGAAACGATTAGCAGTGGAGACATTTACAGATGGCCTTTCGGACAGTAACACTCAACAACCAATACGCCTTGACCGACCTAAGACGCTGGCTGATGTATTGGTTCGTGCTTTGGAGTGCGACACTGTTAAACGGGCCTATAGCAAACAGGGATGGGTTCGGCTACTTTATGAAGGAACGGATTGACCAGAATCTTTAGAAGAAATCGTCTGCCGAATCATCTCCAAGTTCGATAAATAAACTCGAAAGCTAAGATGTTGGAATTGCGGCAAACTAGGTCATACGAGAAAGCAGTGTGATCGAATGGAAAAGAATGAAAAAGCAATTCGACACGTCACGGTATTCCATGACGAGTGGTTACCTGAAAATATAAAACACGAACAAGAAAACGACCCGCACTTGAAGAAGGCGATGGAATGGAAAAGAGACGGAAAACGACCAACGTGGCAGCAAATTTCTTCCTGTACCCAAGTATTAAAATCGTTATGGGCTTAGTGGGACTCAAAGGTTTTGGAGGATGGCATCCTGAAGCATGAAGCGTGAAAGTTCAGATTGATAGGAAGATAGGAAGCTACTGGTTATTCCTCGAAAAAGGTTAGAGAGGTGTTGCAGTATCATCATGACGGATCATCTGGTGGCCATTTTGGAGTGAATAACATGCTTAGGAAAGTTTGAGAGCGATTATTTATTACGTGAACTGTAAGGAAGATGTCAAAACTTGGTGTAAGAAGTGTACCACCTGTGCCGCGAGTAATGGACCACAGAAAAGGCCAAGTGCACCAATGCGTTAATACAATGTCGGTGGTCTCTTTGAACGAATCGCAGTCGATGTGGCGAATGGTAACAAGTACATCTCGGTCGTTATGGACTATTTTACCAAGTGAATTGGAAGCCTATGCCTTTCCGAACCAGGAGTCGGAAACCATACCTGAGGAACTGGTGAGAGTTGATCAGTCGTTTTGGGGTGCCCTTGGAGTTGCACTCAGAGCAAGGGAGGAATTTCGAATCGGGTATATTCCGTGGAACATGCGAGCTCCTAGGACTAACGAATACTCGAACCACTCCACTCCATCCACAATCGGACGGCATGATTGAGCGAATGAACTGGACGTTGATTAAATATCTCTCCAAGGTAGTGTCTGATCACCAAATGGAGTGGGACCACTATTTGCCTTTATTTTTAATGGCATACCGTTCATCTGTCCATGAAACGACT